GAAGAAATTTATTAAAGTAAAAAAAGTTTTAATTTAAGCCAAAAATGTTAAAGTAGTAAAGGGAAATAGGGGAAAAAAAGATCCCTTCACCTCAAGCGGAAAAAACAGGAGTGTTGCAATCACTGAATCCACAAAAGATTACAAGCAAGAGCAAAAAACTTTCTAAGGCAGTCCAATGGGGATTAAATACGCCGCTTTGTTCTTGCTTAATGGACTAATTAAGCTTAAGAAAAGAGTTTTTAGGGCAATCTGCTAAAAGAAAAGGAAAAAAAACCTCACCAGGTAGAAACACTTCTCTCTTCCTGGAGCCGTCTCCAACTATGTCAGTTTGCGGGGGGCTGCCTGTTTGCCGCCGATTGGAAGCACTCCCCTTGGGTCGATCAGGGACTTTGCGATGTCCCTGCGACCAGCAAGGTCTTGTCTTCCCAATCACCGTCTCTTCGGGACGGGTTAGGTCCTGCCGGACCGTCCAGGGGCAAAAGTGTCATCGGCGGAACGGGGTATGGCCCTCAGGCGTTGGAAGTCAGATCATTTGAGCCATGTTTCCGAGCACGGGATGACCCTTTTTGGGATGGCGCATCCTTTGACACGTCCACTCCCACTTGTGCAACATTTCCTTGTTCCTCCTCCCCCCTCCCGCCCCCCCACACACCTTCTTTTCACCTCAGTGCAGGGAAGGGCTGCTGGGAGTCTTTGTGAGGAGGGGGTCTTCAGTTTAGAAAGTGAGTCGTCCCGGTGCCAGCTTCCTCCCTGTGGGTGGTGGAGCCAAGGTGCACATCCCACTGCCCCCTTCGTGGCTTCCGGGGCAAAAGGCAGGAAGCTCCACCCGGTCCCTGCAGTCGGCGTCTGGAGTGCCCAGAGGGGGGGAGGGGGGCTGGCTCACGAGGGGCACCTGCACAGCGGAAGCTCACCTGGCCTATTTTCTGCATGCAGGCAGGAGAAGGAAGAGTACATTAGAGCCAAGTATGTGGACCGGCGGTTTGTGTCCCCCGCTGACCCAGGGGGGAAGCCGGCCCTGGCCCCCAGCCAAGAGGGGACGAAGCCAGGCAGCAGCCCTGAAAATGCAGCAGCCTCTTTGAAAGGTATCCGGGATGGTTCCCTCGCTCCCCCACCCCACTCTCGTAAATTGGGGGGGGGGAGTGGGAAAATTCCCTCCTTGCAGCCCCGGGAAACGCTCCCACTGCGTGCTTTCCAAAGCCCCGGGAGGAGGAGACGCAGAGAAGGCCGCGGTGTTTGCGCCTACCGACTTTCCGTATTAACCAGCCAATCATCTCCTCTTCCTCCTCCCTTCCCGGCCTCTGCCTCCAAGTGGGCTTCCATGTGCCCAGGGGCTGGTGTGGGGCAGCCGGGCAAGGCGAGGAGAGCCTCTCTCTTGTTTCAGTGAATTAGATTTGCTCTTCTCCTCCGCTGGTTCCTCCGCCGAGTAGGAAGTCTGCTCTGGGTGTGCTGCTCTAGGGCGCTTCATGCCCCCCCCCCCCCCCCCCCCCCCCCCCCCCCGGGCGACTGTTTTGGGCTTGTGACTGCCAGGGTCGGCATCGGCTGTGCCCTCTGCCTTCGGGAGAAAGAACCAGCCTTGAGGCCTCCCTGGGACCCCCCGCCAGGCTCTGGGGGTGGGCGAGCCAAGGCCGAGGACCCAGCGCCTGCCAGTCTGCGAAGACGGGTGTCCCCCACCCGCGGCTGCTGCCACCGCTAAGGACCGCCTTTCCTTAAAACAGCCCCAAGCAGCGACCAGACCCCTCAGCCCGGCAGGGAGGAGAGCAGAGAGCGCTTGGCAGCCCTCGCCCCAGCCGACATCTTGCACGAACCAGGTAGGAGCTCCTGCTGGGGGTGTTGGGTTGGGAGCCTTCTTTCCTTGGGTGGGATTCCCGCCCCCCCCCCCCAGGGCTTTCCCCAAGAGCATCAGCAGGAACATGGAAGGGGAGGGGGGAGGTGTTAAAGTGCCTGAAGTGAAAGGCTTTCGGTGGCCAGCAGCCGGTCCGGCTTCTGCCTGTGAGCCCCCCCCCTGCAGACGGCCTCTGGAGGGTGGCAAGACAGGAAGTGCCTCTCCTCCTCCTCCTCCTCCAGGGGCAGAAAGCCGGGAGGGGGAGGCCGCCTCTGCTGCAGCTTCCCAGGAGGCCAGGCTGCGGGTCGCAGGGCTGCAGTTGTACCAGGCGGCCTACCAGAAGAGCCTTCCCCACATGGCCGAAGCCCTGGCCCAGGGCGCGGACGTCAACTGGAGCAACCGGCAGAAGAACGGCTTCACTCCGCTGATCCAGGCGGTTCGTGGGGTGAGCTTTGCCTGCCTGCCCTGCCCACCTGGCAGCCTGATCCAAGCGCACAGGATTTGGGTGGCATCCTGGGGGCCTGGGGGAGGGAGGGCCGAGGGTCGCTTCGGACCAAGAGCTTAGGCTGGATGCCCCTCGTCTCCCCCTCAGGGCTCCCTGGTCACCTGTGAGTTCCTCCTCCAGAACGGGGCCAACGTCAACCTGAGAGACACCCAGGGCCGAGGGCCGCTGCACCATGCCACCATTTTGGGGCACACGGGGTAGGTCTTCCGGCCTGGGGGGGGGTCCTGCCAGATTCCTCAGAGGGGTTTCTCTTGTAGGGGGAGGCTCTTTCCGGCAGGGAATTGACCGCTGGGCTGGTTCCCTTAACAGGCAGGTGTGCCTGTTCCTGAAAAGGGGGGCAAACCAGCACGCCAGGGACGAGGACGGGAAGGACCCCTTGACTGTCGCCATAGAAGCCGCCAACGCGGACATCGTGACCCTGTAAGGACGGAGCTTCCTGTCCTCCAGAGGGGACGAGGCTGGGGTCGCAGCACACGCCCTGAACTCGGCCCGGCCCGGCCCAGAGCGGCTCCTGCCCTTCCACCAGAAGGACTGAGAGAGGGGCTGGGCAGGGCTGGGTGGGCACCGTGCATGAGACCCTTGGGCGTTGCGGCCAGTGGAGGCGGCCTGAGCCTCTTTTTCCTTTCTCTGCAGGCTGCGCTTAGCCAGAATGAACGAGGAGATGCGGGAGTCGGAGGGCTTCTACGGCCAGCCAGGTCTGCCTGCCGCAGCCCCACAGTACAGGAGGGGCCTTCGGGAGTTCCTCAGCAGGCAGCTAGGCCAGCCCCAGGGATTCCGGGGTTTGGGGGGGGGGGCTCCCGCTGTTGACAGCAAGGGTCTCCCTGATGAACAGGAGATGCTCAGGGCTGCTTTCCCTCCCAAGCCCCCATGCCAATTTCTGCTTGACACAGAACTGGGGTGGGGTGGGGGGTCCAAGGAACCCTTTGAAAGAGCAGCTGTGTCCCCCCCCCAAACTCTGTGCAGCTGCATCGCCTCTGTCGACTGTGGGGACGCCAGGTCTCCATCATCAGCACGCCTGCACCCAGCTGCATTTCCTCAGGTGGAATGGCATCACCTGGGCTGGGCTTGCCGTGATCCCTTCTCAGTGCACCGGCCAAGGCGCAGGGCAGAGCCTTAAGTGGTGGAGGGACGTCCCGGGAGGTGCGGGAATCCAAGCCTTCCCAATAGGGGAGACCGCCAGCCTGTGCCTGGTTAGGAGCCCCACTGTACCCACTGTCTGTGGGGGCCACTGTCCAGTTGCACGTCACACTCTCCCTCCTCCCCCCCCCACCTTGGCTGGGATTCTGCCCCTCCCCAGACCCTGGGGGCCACCTCGTGCTCCGGCCGTGGCGGCAGATGCTTAATCTCCAAGCGCCGCAGTTTGGGTGCCGCAGCGGCTGGAGATTGGTGACAAGCGCTGAGCAGCCTGGAGGTCCCTTGCAAGGGCCTGCAGAAACCTCCTTGGGGGCCTGGATAGGGAAGGGGGCTGGCTGGGAGCATGACGGGGCAGCTGAACAGACGGAGCCCCCCCAGGGCAGGCTGGTGGAGGGGGTCTCTTCAGTAACGCCGCCCCTTCCCTTCTTTCGTAGGGGATGAAACCTATCAGGACATCTTTCGGGACTTCTCCCAAATGGCCTCCAATAACCCAGAGAAGCTCAAGCGCTTCCAGCCACCGGACACTCCGGAGCCCTGAAAGGCCCCAGAGCTGCAGCGAATGAGGCCTCCACCCCACCCCACCCCCTCTTTGGCCTAGCAAGCCTCAGGAAAGCCTCCTGGGAACAAAAACGGACCCCAAATGCTAAAAAAAAAAAGTTTTTAAAAAGTTCCCACCATCGCACAGCACAGCTGATCGTTGTAACTTTTTTTTTTACTTTGTTAAGCAATTTTTTTACTACGGGTTCGAA